TCCTAAGCTTCCCTAGCGTAACCGGACCAAACCCAGGGTACGTAATGTCCGAATGCCTTGCGGAGCGGTCTCGGATCTCGCCGGACGGTGCCTGCGGTGGACCCCAGAGCCGCGGGCTGAGACAGCCGCCGCTCCGGCGCGGCCCGCCTACCTGACAGTGGATGCCCTCGCACGGCACCTCCACCACGATGACGGGCGCATACTCGGCGGACGGCCGCTTGTGTAAGCCCACCGGCACCGACTGCGATTCAGCCGGACGCCACAGCACGCCAGCCAGCTGGTTGAACCAGCAGTTGTAGCCGAAGCACCCATCGAATGTGCGAGAGCCGCGCCTGCCGGCGTCTGCCGTCGACTGGCGGTGCGTGGCCTGGGTCCGCGCCGGGTCGGCGGCGCTCCCGGCCGCCAACTGGGAAGACGTGACCTCAGGTCATCGGCCGGATAAGCAGCTGACACCTCAAGTCATCGATCGGGCGAGCAGCTGACACCTCAGGTCATCGAACGGGCAAACAGCCGACACCTTAAGTCACTGATCGGACGAGCAACTGATATCTCAGGTCATAGGTCGAACAAGCAGTTGACACTTCAGGTCATTGGTCGAACAAGCAGTTGACACCTCAGGTCATCGGTCGGACAAGCAGTTGACACTTCAGGTCATCGGTCGGACAAGCAGTTGACACTTCAGGTCATCGGTCGGACAAGCAGTTGACACCTCAGGTCACCGGTCGGACGAGCGACTTGGGCTGACTGACCATTCGGAAACGGGCGGAGGCTTGCTGGGTGCTCCTAACCAGCGAACGTCGATTCAGTCGACGTCGAACAGTGTCGGTAGTGAATGAACGGACCAGTTACTCGTCAGGGAGCGTGAGATAGTGTGTCCAAGAAATGACAGAATGGGTGGCATCACCTGGTGTAATAATGTCGACGAAAGTACCAATTGCAATACATAAGATAAGCTGCATTTATTGAAGTATTTTTATGACAACAACAGGGCCATACATTGCTAGCCCGATACCTTACTCCGAGATGATGGGATCAGTTCAAGCAAGAATGGATAACATTGAACAAAACGGCGTGGGCAGCGTAAGGTCACAGACCACAGAAAACAGTAAAAACAAACCGCATGCGTCCAGTCACCCAAGGAAGTAGTATAAAGTGGTAAAAAAGGATAATGCATAAAGTTGATATTACAACAATTAACCATCTAACTATTTTTTACGAATATTCAATGTCTAATAAAACTATAGCTGATATGAGGGAAGAAGCACATTCGTCCTACAGTGAGAACCGGTTGGCCAGGACGCGTCACGCGGGGGCGCAGGGGTCGCTGAGTGTTTCACTTACAGCGGCGAGCACGATCATCAGAGCGGGGGTTCGCATCCTGCGGATGTCTCCGGCTGAGGAGCGCGCACCGACTGGTCGCCGCCGACGCGCGGCCGCGCTATTTAACCCCGTCACCGGCGGCGGCGGCCCCTACACACACGGCGCTTTCCCGACAGAACTGGCGCGGTCGGGGTCGGCACGCCGGCCGACTGGGAGCCGGTGCCGGCGTCAGCGGAGGAGCCGACTGTGACCAGGGCCGGCGCCGGCGTCAGCGGAGGAGCCGACTGTGACCAGGGCCGGCGCCGGCGTCAGCGGAGGTACCAACTGTGACCAGGGCCGGCGCCGGCGTCAGCGGAGGTACCAACTGTGACCAGGGCCGGCGCCGGCGTCAGCGGAGGTGCCAACTGTGACCAGGGCCGGTGCCGGCGTCAGCGGAGGTACCAACTGTGACCAGGGCCGGTGCCGGCGTCAGCGGAGGTGCCAACTGTAATCAGGGCCGGCGCCGAGAATGTGAAGGATCAGCTGTCACGCTGCATCGACGGCCCAGCCGTCACACTGCACCCACGGCTCAGCTGTCATGCTGCACCCACAGCTGAACTGTCACACTGCACCCTTAGATGTCATACTGCATCCACGGCCCAACCGTCATACTGCACCCACAGCTCAACTGTCGCACTGCACCGACGGCTTAACTGTCATACTGCACCCACAGCTTAGCTGTTGCACTGCACCCACAGCTCAGCTGTCATACCGCACCTACATCTCAGCTATCACACTACACCTACGGCTCAGCCGTCACATTGCATCCACAGCTCAGCTGTCATACTGCATCCACAGCTCAGCTGTCACACTGCCCCTGCAGCTCAGATGTCACAGTGCACCAACGGCTCAGCTGTCACACTGCACGCTCAGCTGAGCTGTCACACTGCACCTACGGTCCAGCTGTCACACTGCATTCCTAACTCAGCTGTCACGCTGCACCCACAGCTCAGCTGTCACATCGAACCCACAGCTCAGCTTTCACACTGCACCCACAGCTCAGCCGTCACCCTGCACCCACATATCAACTATCACAGTGCACCTACGGTTCAGCTGTCACACTGCATCCCTAACTCAGCTGTCACATTGAACCCGCAGCTCAGCTGTCACACTGCATTCACAGCTCAGCTGTCACACTACACACACGGCTCAGCGGACCGCTAGGATGTGTCACACATAACATTTCGTTACCCTGAAACTGGGAGCAGACGAAGCCTTCGTTTTGTGCTCTTCTTGGAGTGTCGCGGCCTGTTGTTCCCTCTTCTTTTTTGCCTTTTTGTCCGCCTCCATTCTGTGCACGTCCTTCTTCCTCTTCTTCTTCAGCTCTATCTCCGGCGTGGTGTTCACATGGCGAGCTTCGCTGACGGTCTGCTCGCACTTACTTCCGGTGTCCTCGTGAGCTCTTGAGTAGCCGACCTCCTGCTCTGGAGACGTTTCGAATCTTCTCGTCTGTGCCAAGCCACGAACACGAGAGTTCGTTGCACAATCGTAGCGCCCCCCCCCCCCCCCCCGGTGACGTCCCCGTAGGAAGCCGCAGGCGACTTCGTGACAGTGTCATCCTTCAGTGCGCCCGACAGCGTCCTCATCACAGCCAGCAGAAGCAGGGGCCTTCAGTGCGACCACTTCGGCGGCCATGGTCGTCGTCGCAGAAGGGATGTAGCCTCGCTCGTTCAAGCGTGTCATATTTTGTCAATGGTGATGTCCCGTTCAGGTACTTTAAGCTGCGGAATTTGTGCTCTAAGCTGTGCGAAGTCCCCAGTAGCCCCCACGCACCACGAATTAGCGGTTTTGTGCACTAACTAGCATGTTGCTCTTTATAAAGCCCACTAGGTCACTGACCTCAATACTGCGGGAAGGGCGTTACATTAAATCGGGCCCTCACTGCAGAATGCTTGCTTTCTGAATTCTGACTTCATGCGCACGATATCTTGCACCGCGCCTTGGCATACGAGAATGATAACTTTTTATCAAAGGTAGTTGCGAGTGTGCTTAGTCAGATGATATGACGCATTCATATCCTTGAACTCAAAGGCAGGGAGAAGCTAAAAGACAGCAGCTCACGGCTCCCCCCCCCCCTTTCTCAAACTACCAGGGGTACCGTATCATGCATTGTGTCTGCTAAGGTATTCATGATAGGCTACGAGGCAGTGTCACAGCGTTGGCCATGTCTAAGGATTGGAGTGAAACATTTGTGCGGGAAATATCTTAACAGTACAATATTAAATAGCAAAAGGTCAATGAAATGCACCAGCAACTCCAGCTGGAGTGCAGGATGCCTATCTCGTCATGAACTAATGAGAATACAAAACGCAGCCAATAATGCTGGTAGCGAGTGAAAGTGTTTTCGGTTGGGTGTCATATCATAAAGGTCTCACCTAAAAAACTTAAATTAAGATTGTGGTAGCACGCTTTCAATTTAGTAATATCTATATCTTGGACCTCCTAGATAGCATCACTATACATTGACATATCCTTGCCTTGCACTGATCCACCCACTTCTTGTTCTGCCCCACTCTGTATGGCATCCAATAACCAAAAATTGATGAGGTTGGTGGCATGCAAGGAAGCTGAAGCAAGGAGTACTAGAAGCGTTGGGCAGAACTGGGACGGCGTGTTCGCTTTCTCTACGGGCGCTCAGCACTTTTGCGAAAATGAAATTCCGCACATTCAGTGTTACGACAAAACAACATATCATTATTTTCCAAAAGTGTCAATAGCCATGGACGAAAGCAGAAGGTTAACACGGTTGTTCCAAAACAGCATTTCTGAATGTACTTCTTGGCGCATACATTCAACTTAAAGTTATGACTGGAAGAAGTTTTCCGACCGTTTTGATCGGTACTCCGGGCAGATTTTCCGCTTGTCCGCACAGTCTCTCCGTCGTTATGCTAGAGAAGCCACGGTGACACATATTTTAACGAACATTTTTTTTTCATTTCGGGATCCTCTTTCATGTGTAGTACCTCGCTTCGTGCTCGGTAAAGAAAGGTGACTGGGTTTTCGCTTGGTTTCCCGACTATCTCGTCGACACTGCCCGGCAAGTCTTTGTCCACCTCACTGCACTGCACGCGCGCTGCTAATGCGTTACAATGCCCGCGTAATCCACTTTCCACTGCGATTTCCGCGTGCTGTTCGGGAACGTGATCCCGGGGGCGGTGAAGTCTTGTTGCAGGAGGCCGGTCCTAGCATAAAAATGTCGATGTTGAGTCTGTGCACTTTCATCAAACACCCATCGCATTTGATGACTTGATGCTGATAGGAGGCGAGCAGTCGTTATTGTCAACTGCATTTGGACAATGCTGCTGGGCCAGGCATGTCATCACAGCTGAAAACCGCTCCAACTTCCTGAAAAATTGTAATTAGCTCAGAGCTGTTACGCTGGGTTATTGGCCTTCCAGATATCAAGAGATACCGGCTAAGCAACGTGATAGCGCATACATTGGTTATGTTGACAGTACTCAAGATTGCAAGCAGGGCTTGTGATTACTATTGAAAAGAGTTGAGCAGGGTAAATAAAAAACTAACACTTGAAAAACAAGGCACGTGTATCCAGAAAATACTCCGAAAAAAACAATACCACTCTGAAATTTCTTCCTCTCCTGATATAAGTTTCTAATGTAATACGCGGCAGAAGTGTCGATTTGTACTCTTGTGATGGGTTTGCCTCCCCATCCATCGTTCAGTTGAGCCCTTGAAAGAAATGTTTCGCATTTAAAGATACTGAAGCAAGCATTAGATATGAAGAAGCAAGTTCACTTACGTTCATTGGTGAGTTTTTGAATGAAAGAAATGCTCTAGACAACACAAGTCCTTCGTTTTGTAAATATGCCCCTCGATACGTCATTGTTTACGGCGTCGTACCTTGCACAACGTTGAGCACCAACTGAAGACCCTTATATCTGGAAACTGGACTCACGAATGCCAGATATGAACGACTCGACCATTATAATTTTCTTATCCTTGACCCCCGCGTGGCCTATGGAATGGCAGGATTTGAATGTCGTTGTTATGACGTCATGCATTTCAATGTGAATATGACAAACTCTCCCACAATTCCCGCCACCCCCACCCCCACACACACATGTTTGCGGTGTTTAAGCTCAGGAACCAAAGGGTTTCTGGCTAGTCGGAAGTGGCGTGATAGAAGCAAAATGAGGTGTCAACGGCTAGATGACAGTCGCGTGATAGCGCACCCCTTGCCACCGCCGGCCATGTGGGAGGCGTGCAACAGGCACGTCCAACTCCAGGCATCTAGGCCCGGTAACCGTGATAGGCCCGCCGCAGTCGGCCCGACGTCTGGGCCGCTGTTGAGCGGGTGCCTCGTGGTGAGGCACGCACAGGCGACACAGGCGATGGGCTCTGGACGGCACCCACCGTCTGAGACACCCAGACTTCATTTGAGCAGCACCTGCCGGTGTCACTTTCAGGCACGTCGGAGCAACACGCCCAGGTCTTTCCCCGAACCCAGGTCGGCTGCAGCTGGCCGGTTTTCGTGTCTGCGGTCAGCTGCCTCGCCGGCTTTGTCACCAGCGCCTGGTTTGTTTCACCAATGGTATAAATCTATGCATTTTTATCCGCGCCGCGAGAACTCGTAGACCAGAAACGACAAGCCTGAAATTACAAACTAGTCTGGGCGATGCGCCCTACTTATCACTGCCCTAAGAATATAAAGTTCGAAGAATGTTCGCTGTTCCCCGACCGACAGGCCTCCACACGAGCTCGTATGGTTGCTTCATTTCTTCGCATTAAACCGCGCCATGATGCCTCACAACTACCGAGCCTTAGCTCAAGTTTCGCTTTTAGGTGTGGTGTCGAACGTGCATACCCTTGTCATTAATTAAAATCGATTTCATTTGATGGCAGGGTTCTCGAAACAACCGACCTTACAAGATATTTAAGACCTTGTGAAACCTGCCAGTGAAACCTGCGAAACCCAGCATTGTCAAAAAGGACGATGGGTATGTTATGCATTCTACAGGCTCGTGTATTAAGTGAACGTGAAACTCCCCCAGAACCTGACGTTAGTTATGACTGAAAGTTTCAAGGCAGGTTAGCGTGCCGGTTACGTATCCTGTACAGTCGCTCGACCCAGCCTAATAAATGTACGGCGGACCAATGCAGGAATAAACCGGCAGGAAGTTCAGCCACTGATGTCCACGTGCCAGACAATGGCGTGAAGCGTAGGTCCAAACGCGCAGGTAACACAAATGAAGAAAAACGGAAGAAAGCAATTTAGCTCGTGTAGGCTTGACATCATATTCAAATGGCGAACGGAATGGATGTTTGCGTTCCTAGTCCACAGCTCACCGATCCAACGTCCGAATACTTAGGAATGCCGTTCTTCTAGTCGTTCCCCAAAGCCGGCTAGGCGAGCGGTCGGCTGCTGCCCGCAAACAAGCCTCACCCGAACTGAGGACGTCACCACCAGCAGTGTGCCATCATCTATACAGTATACGCATGCCCGACCGGTCCCGTACCCCGTCGTATATTTCAGCCATAGTTCCTCTGTAGACGTCGATCCCTTCACACCGCCGTTATCCCATCACACGCGCGTCCGCGCGTCCGCCGCGGCGCGCTCCGCGCACAGCACATGCACCCTCTGCCGGCCAGCGCATGTAAGCGATACACCGTATTGCACCGACCCTGAGTACAAACAGCCGGCGAGCTAAGAAGCCGGCTGGTAAATAATGCCCACGCACGTGATCCTACTTGGCGCCACTGCCGACATAGCAAAACTCACAGCCCCGCACTATTACGCTACGTTGCATACGCCTGAGTTTTTCATGAGCAGAATATGTGACACAACTCACAGCTGGTGAGGATTCATAGCACCTTAGCAAAAGCATCTTAATCGCAGGAGGTATACACGGTTGACACCCGTACGCTTGCCGTGGTGTCGGCAGGCAGCCCGGCGGGGGCGCCTTCAGGTCCTGACGCCGTTCGGCGAGCCGCCTCACTGGATCGGCGACACCTTGAGCGGCAGCAGCAGCTTGCTGTGGCCCGTTCGCACGTGCTCCATGAGCTGCTGGTCTGAAACATGACAAGACGCCATCAGCGATCGCGGTGCCGGTGACAGGACCGCCGGCTGCCGCGTCCCCTCGACGGCGGCCCCGCCAGCCGCCGCCACAGCGGCGACGCAGAACCACGTCCCAGAAACTTTACCGAAGTCCTCTGAAGGATGGCTGGCATGCATGATGCTCTGGGATCTGGCACTAAACGTGGTCCTTGGGCCGCACCAAGGTGCACAAATTCCGGCATCGGCTTGACCATGCGCAGGGAATCGAGCATTACTACCGCGCTCTCTTTGCCGATGCAGGCATGTATTCGCGGAAAGCCGTGGTCGAAGTCGGACTCACAGGCGGTCGAGGCGCGCGTCTCCTCCCCGGCCTGCAGCAGCGCGTCCTGCGACCGGTGGTGGCGCAGCAGCACGGCTCCGTGCAGCGGCCCCACCAGCGACACGAAGCAGCCGACCAGCGGCGCCGCCGAGCCGGCGTCCTCCGCCAGGGCACGCAGCAGCTGCTGCCAGCGCCCCGGCGGGCCGCGCAGCTCCAGCTGCTGTAGCTCCGTTACGCCTGCGGGCGGACCGGGCGGCGCGGCGGTTAGTGTCGGCGGCGCGCGCAGGGCCGGTCTGCGCCACGGAAAGCGCCGACGGCGAGACCCGCCCGCCCGTCACTGGACGCTCGCGCAGGGCCGGTCTGCGCTACGGAGAGCACCGACGGCGAGACCCGCCCGCCCGTCACTGAACGCTCGCGCAGGGCCGGTCTGCGCTACAGAGAGCACCGACGGCGAGACCCGCCCGCCCGTCACTGAACGCTTGCGCAGGGCGGCAGGGCCGGCGAGGGCACAGCCCGCCGCGCGCACGTTGCGGCGGCAGACCTGGGCCGCGCACACCAGAGTTGGCATACTGGCCGTGGTGTACAGGGCACAACTCTGCCGCATTGCCGGTCTCTGAGTTAAGGCACATACCGGACAATCCAGGATAGCCAGGCCGGTGGGCGAAGAGAAGCAATCGACATGTCAAGTTGGCGTCAAAAGGTCGGTAACAAGTTGTGCGTACCATTTTAAGTTAGCTTCCGAGAGATAGAGAACCACAGCGGGTGGTGAGATACGCCACACCAGTACAGCATACCCAACTCAGATGGAGACGACACAATGGTTCGTAACTCAGTACGTGAACTTGTTCGTCAGAGCAGAGCATACTAAGCACCACTAAAATGCATACCAGCCGTATGGAAACCATGAGGCCCCACTCGCGGCTCACGTCTTCGCCCGATGTGCGTCAAACTTGAAGTTCAGGCCCATTGTCACAAGCAGCGCCAATAGCGCGATTTCTCACCAGTATCAGTCGGCATACTGACGGTGGTGCCATCCAGCGGACGCATGAGGAAGTTGTCTTGCGCCACGAGGGCCGGGCTCAGGACAGGCGTCACGTATTTTTGTGTCCACTCCTCGTCGGCGGCCAGCTTGCCACGCACCGTCGCCCGGTGGGACAGGTCATCTGGGCAGCGAGGGCGAGCCGTGTCACCGTCCACGCGGGACGGGGTCCTGTCTCAGCTCTGGGAGCCGGTCGCGCGAGACGTGTGGATGGTGCGCCCGGCCAGCGACTGGGGGCGGCGCCAAAGCACGACACTGGGGACGACAAACGGTGCACAGCAGAAGACGACAATATGCACTTGTACCGTGCCTCGCTGGTGGCCTTCCGGCGGAGTGCCGTGCCCCATCATGACCTCCCGGCGGAGCGCCGTGCCCCATCCTGACCTCCCGGCGGGGTGCCGTGCCCATCCTGACCTCCCGGCGGGGTGCCGTGCCCCATCATGACCTCCCGGCGGAGCGCCGTGCCCCATCCTGACCTCCCGGCGGGGTGCCGTGCCCCATCCTGACCTCCCGGCGGGGTGCCATGCCTCATCCTGACCTCCCGGCGGGGTGCCGTGCCCCATCATGACCTCCCGGCGGGGTGCCGTGCCCCATCCTGACCTCCCGGCGGGGTGCCGTGCCTCACCCTGACCTCCCGGCGGGGTGCCATGCCCCATCCTGACCTCCCGGCGGGGTGCCGTGCCCCACCCTGACCTCCCGGCGGGGTGCCGAGCCTCACCCCGACTCCCGGCGGGGTGCATGCCTCATCCTGACCTCCCGGCGGGGTGCCGTGCCCCATCATGACCTCCCGGCGGAGCGCCGTGCCCCATCCTGACCTCCCGGCGGGGTGCCATGCCCCATCCTGACCTCCCGGCGGGGTGCCGTGCCCCATCCTGACCTCCCGGCGGGATGCCGTACCTCACCCTGACCTCCCGGCGGGGTGCCATGCCCCATCCTGACCTCCCGGCGGGGTGCCGTGCCTCACTGGTGACCTCCCGGCGGGGTGCCGTGCCTCACCCTGACCTCCTGACGGGGTGCCGTGCCTCACTGGTGACCTCCCGGCGGGGTGCCGTGCCTCACTGGTGACCTCCCGGCGGGGTGCCGTGCCTCACTGGTGACCTCCCGGCGGGGTGCCGTGCCTCAATGGCGACCTCCCGGCGGGGTGCCGTGCCTCACCCTGACCTCCTGACGGGGTCCCGTGCCTCACCGTATTCCCAGACGTGCACCACCTGGTTGAGGCCGCCCAGCTCGGCGGTCCAGTAGCCGATCAGCGGCGAGTGCTGGGTGCGGAGGTGGAACAGCGTCTCGGTGCCGGCCAGAAAGTGGCGCATCTGGTCCATCCGCAGACTGTAGGTCCGCAGCTCGTACAGGCGAGAGGCGATCCGACCAGCGCTCTGCGCGCACGGCACGACGTCAGCGCTGGGCACCCCGTACACACAGCCACCCCGCGCGCTATTCACAGGTCAGAGGCGATCCGACCAGCGCTCTGCGCGCAAGGCACGACGTCAGCGCTGGGAATCCCGCACATACAGCCATCCCGCGCGCTATTCACAGGTCAGGATCGCTCACCAGAGCGCCATCTATTCGTTTGGTATCCAAACATCAGTACCAACCTTTATTGAGAAATGCATCCTCGACAGTTATGTAAAGAACAGGGGTGGGTGAAATGCTACCTGAGTCTTGGAAAATTATAATTACTACTGCAAGCCTTGGACAACAGACATTCCAATTATAGCATAAGTATGCAACAATTCAGCAAGGGGCAAGTGCACATTCAACAGACCCACTTCATTGATGCAAGCACTCAAAACATAGTTTCGCAAACCAATCCAAAGGAAAACACAGTGCAGTACAGTATAGTACACCAGTCTATGAAGCAAACAACGCTCAGGGCAATGGGCATGCAAACAGATAGACAGATACAAATCTGGCTTCAGATACACATAGGGTATGGGATAATAAAGTATCTGAGATGTTTATTCAACAGGAGCAAGACAAAATTAAATTATTGTGACAAGAGAAAACGACGTAACATGTGGTACCATAACTTGCAATATTTTATATGTTTATCAGTTTGAAGGGCTCAAATCTCAGTTCAACGGGCTCTTGTCCAACTGGCAGTGCCACCGCCGTCACCGCAGGCAAGGCCCCAGACCTGTTTAACCCACTGGGCACGACTTCCCGAGTGGATGCATCGTTGACACCGATCGGTCTAGGAAAGCCAGTTGGCAACTAACACAAACAGCTCGCCTGTCATCCGCCACAGAGGCCCACCACAGCCATGTCGTTTACCCATTGTTCACGCGTAAGGATCGCGAAGACTTCTACCGGCAAAGCCAAAACTAACTTAAAGCGGCCGGAAAAGTCACGTTCTATGAGACTGGTGAGACCAGTGAGCTCCTGATGAAGATCAGGTCTTCCACTGAAATATTTACACACTTGAATGGTGTAAATGGCACACATCCAAACTATGCAAAGTAGCATGCAAACCCATGCAGTTAAACATATCATGCATTCTAACAGGCTCAGCACGAGGTTAATTTACCCGCAACAGCCTTCCTGGGGTTGGGCCTGGGATGAAAACCCAGCAGGCTGGAATGCTTCTGCTGGCTTGGAAGACCGCTGTCCGGCACTTCCCGACTGGGGCGTCTGTTGACGTTGCGGAAGCAACAAAGGGAGGTTGATGTGCTGCGTCAAATGCACGGCAGCGTAGCAGTGTCGAAGATAACGTCACAGAGGTGTCGAAGCTGCGTATTTCATTTGATCACAGTTACGTTGTCTTTACAGAAACTGGGTGCACAGACAAAGACAAGCACAAACCACTTAGGCCACTTGGTACACACTTTCTGACAGCTTCTGCAGCAGTTATAGGCTCTTTTGATGTGAGCTTCAGTCGTATTCAACACAACCTGTAAAAAGCACCAGGTAGCCAGAGGCACTTATCGGTATGAGCAGCTTAGACCAGTAGCATGCAAGTCATACCATACATGACATGACTACACTAAATGGGAATATCTTATCCATTCGAGTTACAGGAAAACTTTTCAGCATATTTGACTATTCAACCACCACATTCATTACCCAGCCCCAGGCATGCATGAACTAATGCACCCTTTGAGCCATTCCTGCCAGTGGGCTATCCCACTGTCAGGGGTGAATGGCTGGGTTAGCACTTTGGACTCTCCCGTGGGGGCTCGGGCTGGACCCCAGTTACGCAATGGAATCCTGAGGGCTACTATGGCCCATGCAGCTGCTGGTGTTCCATAGAAGGGGCGTGACGACGTACGTCACGTATCTTTGCAAGCACAAAACCTCCAGCACCCAGTGGGCCGCGCCCAAATCCCTTTTACTTCTGCTTCTGCTGGTCGACGCTGCTGGCAAGTGTGACGTTACGGACACATTGTTGGCACGATTAGTTACAGGTTCCGCGCCAGGTTTATGCAGGATTATTAAAAAACAGAAATGTTAAAGGTCAGTGAGTTTTTGGTAGGCTTTTAGGCCTTTGCTACTTTCTTTGTACTTCAATTCATGCCAACCAAAGGCTTGCCCAGCACCCAATAAGTCATCAAAAAACTGTACTCTTATGGACAGTTATTACCTGATTAACTTCTCAAGAACCTGTTGCACCAAGTTTGTGTCAAATCACATGTGCGATCAAAAAATGAACAAGTCATCATACATTAAACAAGACAACGAGTTATGTCCCCCATCCTATTACAATGTATTGCAAATGCCATGGCTATTTTGTTTCAGCTTTATGGGATCTAATTTCGAATTTTGTAAGGTGTAGTCATAAAACGTAATGTGACCACATCATTTTGTAATATCAGCTTCATCGCATCAAAAACCATTTAATTGGCACTCAACAAAATGCAATTAGACCCTTCCTAACTGCCCTAACACTCACCCGGGTGGGAGCAAATTTGACTCGACGCTTTTTAACAAACAATTTCCGAACAGCACGGCGTAGCTGCGCCAAACTTTGCTTAGCTGTAGGTAATTGAATAGCGGGTCTTTTGAGATAAAAAATAGATGCATCTTGTATGATTACCGATCTATGGAATGTCAAAATTTGGCTGTGGGTGTCGGCGAAGGCAACTTCTATGGAACTGTTTGATCTGATGCAACAGCATGGTGTAAGATAAAACAATACACTTCTGAGATAGTTTCCTGGGCAATAAAACAACCAAATTCAGAATTACAACAAATTTTATTGACCTAGGTTCATGTTTGAAGATCAGGTAGAGGTCAAAGCCAAGTGGCTTCTTTACTCCAGATTATCCTGTATGTCTTAGTTTCTGATGCTCATTTTGAAAGTACCAACCACAAGGACCTCAAAATCACCCATGGAGTTCTTGGACACCAGAGTAGGTCACTGACACAGAATGACCAAGACAAACATTTTGCTTTAAGGGTGCTACTGCCTAGCATAATTTGTTATGCTTAGTTGACTAAAAAATCAAAACCTTTCAGCATCTTTGACCTTCTTAAGGTCTTAGGGGGTCACTGACTTAAATGAACACCAATGACCTTTTGCTTAGAGCAGGTATCTAGGTTTAAGGTGGTTGCATGAGGTCTGGGGCAAGCTGAGTATGAATATTGAATTTGGCCTTGTTTGACCTTCCTTGAACCAAATGTTATGTCCCAGAAAACTCATGTTTTCATACTACTAAGTTCAAATGCATGCAAACAAAAATTGTACATCATATGCCTCCAACTCATGTACTTTTTGAGATCTCATGGGCATCAGATTTACTCACCACCCAAGTAAAGGGTATTCAACTGGCCATCTAGGCTCATACTAAATAGCCCCCATTGTAGTAGGGTGAATACAGCAGCTCTGCTCAATGTAGCAGCCAGTGTAGCAGCACTAACCAGCATGCAATTTCCTGTCCCCACCATGAGCAGTGATGAATCTGCAGTGGTTTTGAAGATACCTAGTCTGCCTGGCTTAAAAAGCCTGGTTTTAATTAAATCATTCATTTAACTGATTCACCAAAATCTGTCCAAAATGGCCCATCTATTAACTGGCCATTTTTGTCTCAGACTGCCATTTATCAATTATGTACAACTTTACTTTGTGGTGCTTGCCAAATAGTGATAAAAACATAGAAAACAGGATTCATTCTTATAAAAGAGAGCAGTACAAAATTGTGCAAACAATACAAAAACCTTGAGAAGACCTACTGCTCAACAAATACCCCATACACATGCTAACATGTCAATATTTATAAGCCTGGCCAATTACAAAGAACCAACCCTGCCTGTCTTGGGTGTTTGCTCATGACATTGCTCCATCTAGGCCTTATGGCCAAGCCAAGTAGTTTCCCTAGCATTGGCTACCTGCTCTTGGCCAGCATGCTGGCCAGAGACTGGCCACTGGTTGTTAACCCCAGACCTGAAGCAGATGTGCTGTAGCAATATGTGGCAAGTTAATTCTCAAGGCCGTGCTGTCTGGTAGAGATAGAGGTAACATTATATCCTGATCTGGGATGGCAGCATGCAGATCATAAATTTGAGATAAACAAGGGATAAATTGATGCCCATGCATGAATGCCATTCCAAGGATTTTTTTTAAAAAATGGTGCAATAGGCCACAATCAATCTAAAAATGCAATCTTGGCTGCTCATCAATAGCTGTTACAAATGATACACTAATTTGTGGCAATCTGCTCACACATATCAATATGAAACAAGCAACAAATAAGAGTACTCAAAATCTAATAGCCTGAGGATGTTATATGATGCTGGGCAATAGCTTAACATAGCTTTGTGTCATTAGGTGTTGGGTTTCTTTCTGCAAGACAGGTATTTCTATCCCACAAACACACCTCATTAATGCCTTTGCTGTACTGGAGGGAACTATTTGATCCAGCCTCTCTTAATCCAAAACTATATGTTATGTCACCTGCAGCCAATACAAGGCCACATGCTTCAAAGCAACTGCTTTGTTATTTCTCGCAATTTGTTGCATGACTAATTTTTTAATTTTCAGGGCCTTACAAAAGTGCATGACAATTTTCATTGGAATTCATCCAGTACAACCAGAAACCCTCTGTAAATGTCTGCATGGCCAGCACAGGTGGTTGGAGCAGGTAGATACATTGGGCCACATAGCTGTGCAAAGTGCTAAGCATAGCTATTATATAGCTGGCACGAAAATGTCATATGTATATTTTGGGGTACCTATAATTTTGCAAGTACACTTAATTCCGTGAGAAACATGGACAACACACATTAGGCTTACCATAATGCCCCTCAGTGAAGCAAAGGCACAAAAGGAAAAGAGAAAAGTAATTTACAAAACAACGTTGTCAGCGCTTTCTTAATGCACACACAAAATTAGTGGAGACTCCACGACACAGCGCACGAATCGAACGTCAGCGCCTCAGCAAAGAAAACATGTGATCTGTCAAGAGTTTTGAGCCACATGCGCTAGATTTGTAACAGACTAACTGGGGCCGCGTTCGATCTATCGTCGGCACGTTTGTCAGCACCAATCACAGCCCGGCGTTCGCCCTACGTCAAGTCAAGTAACTAAGCGATCACTTGTGCTGGACGTCACGCGCGGGTTGCGATACCTTAATATCTATGCGTGCTAAATTCCGCCAGTTTTAGCACAAATCGGTACTAAACATGGCTCCCCTCTTAGTAAGGATCAGTATTAACAAGGCTCGAGGGCGTTGCGATGCCAGGATTTTTTGCCAGTCTGTTAGCATGAGGAGAAAGCGCTACCAGATTTAAAAAACACTCTTAACACGCGCTCGGGTGGGGGTTAAATTGATCCCCCGGAAGGTTTTTCCAGAATGGTTTCCGAACGGCGCGGCGTAGGCGTGCCAAATTTTGCATAGCAGTAGATAATTGAATAGTGGATTTTTTGACATCAAAAATTTAGATGTTCCTTGTAAGGTCGTTGGGCTATGGCAGGTCAAAGTCCGGCCATGGTTTTGGCGAAAGCAGTTTCTAGGGAATTGTCCAATCTGATGCAATAACGGAGTGTTTGACGAAGCCCTACATCTCTGAGGTGCTTTCTTACGCACCACAAATGTTGAATGAGCAAATTACGTTGACCCAAGGTCAGGTATGAAGTTCAGACCAAGGTCACTACCAACCTGTCAATTTATTACTCTAGGGCTTGATGTATGGGACAACTTGTGGTGCTCATTTCGAATTTATTGAAAGAACGAACCACATTATACATTTTCCATTTACTTCTTTGAGGTCAGAAAAGGTCATCGACCTAAGAGAAAACCTGAGAGGACCCGGGTCGACATTTTGTTTTAGGGGCGTGCTGCTCAGCGTAATCTTTGTCGCTCAGTACGCCGCGCAGGGCTGTAAGCTGGCGCTCTACCACCTACGGACGCTGGCGAACCTGAAGGACGTCTGAACAGGTCGGCGGCGAGGCGCGGTCAGGTCACCATGCAGTGCCGGAACAGGCAGGTACTCGTGACATGCTGTCGTAGGTCTGCGTTATTTGTGCTGAGCAGCTGAACACCAGTTACTTGTTGTCTCCTTTACAAAGCAGTGCTGTGTTTTCTGGATGTTTGTTGAATTTATGCGACTGGGCTCTCCGGTGCGAATGAGAAAAGACTAAATGGTTGCTTGATTACTGAACTGGATTTGTTTTTAGTTGTACACACTGATGATGGGCGCGCCAGTGTGAGCTGCTGCGTTTGTGTAATGAAGTGTTTTGTACGCCATATCATGAAGGCATTTGTAGATGCGTTGATGGCCTGTCTGCCACTGTACCTACCTGGAATTATTGGAGACCAGCGAGCGCCGTAAAGAATCAAGTGAGTGCTTTTTGCAGTCACTTGATGTTTTGCAGTAGAATGCATAATTCGTTTTGCCACAAGTATTCTTTTCTTTTTCTGGGGTGGGGGCATGTTCATAAGATCATGCGTGCAGTTTTGTTGTGGATTTGCCTCTCGCTGAACTTGTGATGAAAGAACGAAAGCATTGACAAGTAAGCACTTTTTGCTTCCGTTCACGGCACAGTGACGCTTAGATGCCGTTGCAGTGTTGGCACTGCCAGGGTCTCGCTTTCCACATGACCCATGGCGGCAGGCGTTTCGACACGCGCACCGCGTGCGGTTGCGGCCGCTGTGGTGCCTATGACCGTGGACGCCGTGCTGGCGGCCATGCCGTTCGAGGGCCAGTACGCCGCGCAGGGCTGTAAGCCGGCGCTCTACCTGCTGCAGACGCTGGTGAACCTGAAGATAAGGTTGACATTGGGATACCACAGCTAAGACCACTGACACCAGGCAAAAATGAATATTACATCTGGGTTACAAGTGCACCGGGCATATCCACGCATGCAAGGAAATTAATTTGCCGGATTTCCCAGGGTATTCTAGAATAATAATGTGTTTGCCCCAAGTGTTAGCGGTAGCACGCGCTCGAGTGGGGTAGGGTGTTAAATTGACCCGCGAAAGTTTTTCCGGAATTGTTTCCGGACGTCCCGGCGTAGCCGCGCCACATTTTGCATAGCCGTAGACAATTGAATAGCGGATCGTTTGGCGTTACAAATATAGGTGTACATTGTAAGGTCACTGACCTATGGCAGGTCAAAATCGGGCCATGGTTTCAGCGAAGGCAATTTCTAGGGAATCCTTCAATCTGATATAACAACGGAGTGTTAGACCAAGCCATACATCTTTGGGATGCTTTCTTAGGCAGCACAGCAGTTAAATGAGCAAAGTATATCGACCTAAGGTCAGGTATAAGGTCATACCAAGGTCAAACCAACCTGCTTTGCTACTCTAGGGCTTGCTGCATGGTATAGTTTCTGGCGCTCATTTCGAATTTGCTGATAGCGGGAACCCATTATACATCTTCCATGGACTTCTTAGAGGTTAGAATAGGTCACTGACCTAAAATGACCCAGGTCAACGTTTTGTTTTAGGAACATACTGCCTAGCGTTATCTTTGTCGTTTAGTCAAATGCAAAACTCGAAGCAATCTTGCACGATTTTGGTAACTTTGGCCTTCAGAAGGTCAAACAACGCCACTGATCTTGAATGAGAATGCGACTTTTTGCTTACAAACAGTTGCGTAGGTTCTGGGGGCACTTCGGAGACCAACCTGGAATTTGACATTGTTTGACCTTTTTTGACCTGAAGACCATAACCTAGGAAGCTTAAATTTTGACCTAAGTGAGTTCACGTACAGGTCAAGACACCCTGTAAATTTGGTGTCTCTAGCTTTCTTAGGTCCCGAGATCTCAGGGGGGTCAAACTGAGCCCCCACACCCGAGCAAAGGGTATCTAGCCGGCCGCCCGCGCGCGTGTTAAGCGGGAGCTTGATTTGGTAGCTCTTGCGTTGGCGAGTGCTTTACGTGGGGTGGGGCCTCTTACTTGTCTTTGGTTCTGGGAGAAATGCGATGTGAGATAGATCAGGAGGGACTTAAAATGCCAAGAGCATCCATGAAAAGGTGAGTGACAATGCTTGGTGTAGTGTGTGGCAACGTTGCCCAGTAAATTAACAGCGTTACAAGTAAACACTTGAATGGGAGGGATTAAATTGAAATGAATTGGAAGTGGAAAGAAGCACTCAACAGTATGGACGGTACACATGATGGTAACAGCAGAGGAGAAGCCACGCTTCCAAGCACCACTCCGTACGCAGTATGTCTGCGGTAAGCCAGAGTTAGGGTGTGGTCTGAAGTAAAAAGGTAAAGAAAGAAGGGAAAGTAAAGTTTAAAAACCTTCTCCTCAATCCACACATCGAACGCGCCGTCAGCACGCATGGCGTCACGCATTTCAGCTCAAAAACGTGCTGACGACAGATCGAACAGTGCGGCCTGGGCCGCATTGGATTTGTCGTCAGCACGTTTATCAGCACTAATCACGGCCTGGTATTCGACCTACGTCACGACACGTGACCACAAAGTCACGTGGCATGTTACGTCACGCGCCAGCTGACGATGGTGCCAGGAGACCCTGTGAGCCCGTCAGCATGGAGAGAAGGCGCTACCAGATTAAAAAAGTCCTCCGACTGAAGCGGGAGTTTGATTTGATAGCTCCTGTGTTGGGCCGCGTTCGACCTGTCGTCAGCACGTTTGCCAGCACCAATCATGGCCCAGTATTCGTCCTACATCACGTGACATGACCATAAAGTCACGTAGTCTGTTATGTCACGTGCCGGCTGACGATGATGCCAGGATATGTGATGATGGACGGTTTTTACTTAGAATGCTGGATTCTGCTCTTTTCCACAGTTCTACACGTTTTGTGTCGCATCGCATCATCCGGGGCACGGGGCACACTCGGGAGTAGCATGCATTGATGGGGAATCGACCGGACAAGCACGCGATATAGATTGTAGTGTCACGTGTGCGCGAGCCAGAAAAATTGATTTGGCCGCCACCGACTGTTTTTCCATCTGTTCGATACAATAGAATGCCTGTTTAATGCAAGGGCAGTGCGTGCTGCCATCATTCAAAAGGCTGACAGTTGATGGAAGGTACAGAAATCACCCACCACCTCTCATGATCAATCCTCGATCCCATGGAATAGGTTCGGCAGTGCTGCAGGGGGCGCCGGCGAAATGCGCTCTCTCCCGCCGGCGGCCGCCAGACACCGCCAGCACCGCGCGCGGCGTGCGGCCAATTTTTTTTTTCACACTTTGCGCGTTGACTCGGCAACCAGGACACGCAGAACCCCGACTCCAGCTGCAAAAGATACCTAATGAAGATATTTAACTTTTACATCAGCGCTGCGAAGCAAGCGCGCAAGCGCTTGTATACACACTAAATGGGCAACAGTGTTTCATTTTATACAAAATGCTCTCATTTTCAAAATTTGCACCTCTTTTGAAAAAAAATGGTTGTGGTCAAACTTTTTTCTATCACCCGGTAACAAGAATGTGGTCAACAACTTGTAACATCGTTGTACATCGTTTGCAAGTTAAATCAGCCTTCTGTTTTAAGTGGTTCGAGAGATATTAACTTAGACCATTTTGCGTCCTAAAAAGCGGCCATTTTCAAATCATGTCAATGCCGTTGCATAACAACCGTTTAGACGCAGAAATGCTTGGCCCCTGCGATGATGTGACCGGAACTGTTTAATGCTGAAAGGTTTTGAGTGGCATACAACAAACCTGGAATCATGTCCAAAAATTGCCATCTTGTCTAAAAAGAGTAAACCTGGACATAAAATCATTCCGCTTCGTACACACGTTGAAGTTATTATTGGCTCTCATAGCACACCAAAAAACATCCGTTCCAAGATTTTGACTTTTTCCACCACAAACTGCCCGTGGTGAAATTTCTATTGTTTTCCATGTTTATAATAATGACAATAATTGTTTCTAACATCATTGTGTACCGTTCGCAAAGAAATCTGTTTTCGAACTTACCTGGTTTCCGAGGCCAGTTTGC